GACTGGCACCTCCCTTCTCTAATTCTACCCCCGAGTGGCTCACAAAAAGGTCTGCGCCGTTGGAATTCTACCCCCGGGTGGCTCACAAAAGGTCTGCGCCTCCCTCTATATTTGACCCCCGTAGCAAGGTGCAGGTGGGCTATTTCATCCACTTTTGCGGCGTTGTCACAGCTAAGCGAAGGTGGGCCTTATCATCCACCGTTGCGGCGTTGTCATTGCAAAGAAGTGGTAACCGTGGTGAGAGACATAGTGGGCTGGCCGGAGTGATAGCGGCACCGGTCATTTAATAGTAGAAAAAAGGTGGTGATAATAGAAGGTGGTGGTAACGGTGGTGGTAGCAGCAAGAGCTATCAGAGTAACAATGAGTGTTTCTACAAGTCTAAAAATCACTTGTTGGAAAACCATTTTCCTATAGGTGACTTCTCGGTTTCCAAGCTCTCCTCAGGCTTCCATCTTTCCCGGACCCCCTATTTTGGGGAACCTCCTGTAAACAAAAAACGAGATCGGAATTGTCTTTTTAGGTGGGGGGCGTCTTGTACAAGGTGAAAGGGATTGTCATTCTCCAAAGTAGAGGTGCAATAGGCAAAGAAGTTGCCAGGCGGCAAAACGACGGCTTTATCATCAATTGGAAACACTTTGCGTGAAGCCATGGTCGGCGAAACTGTCAAGCCCTTGGTATGTCCAACATACAGGCAAACATGATTTGGCACGCGCTGCTTTTGAGTGACACATGCATGAAGACCATGTCCGGACATGTTGAGCGTTCAAATTACCTGAGACATACCGGTGATTCATGACAAAGTCACCTGGGTGTGAACTTTGAAGTGTGAGAAGCCTCGCGCGACCATGCCGCACGACTCAGCGTAGAAGGCATATACAAAGACATCGAAGACGCAAAGGGTGCAAACATGGGCAAAGGACCCTTGGAAAAAGGGCATAGCAGTGTGCTAGGCGAAGGTGCGCCGTATCATCCACTATTGTGGTGTTGTTGTCAGCGCAAACAAAACGGCAGCTGATGGAATTGCTGTCGGGGATAGTCTTTAGGCTTCTTGTTCACGCCTGCTCATCGAAAGAAATTCAAGTCCACGGGCGGTTCTTTCCTTCCTCTCCGGCAAGCCAGCTCTCTGAGTGGAGCACGCAGGTCTGACAGAGTTTCGCGACAGCCTGGAGTGAACCCTGCCCATTACCCTGCCGCTGCAACTGGCTAAGTAGACCTAACCAAAACTCGTTGGGCGCAGTTTCGCCCGAAGATCCGGCAAAAACCAAAACTGTTCTGCGTGGAACCAGTGGGCGGAATTTCGCCCGAAGCCCCGTCCGCATCTACATCTAAAGAAGCCGACAAAGTGAGAGGCCCCGCTACAGTGACGCGTTAGAAAAGAAAAGTGTGAGCCTAAACTTTCCACGCCGCAGGTGGTGCATTTGTGAATGCCACCCTGCCCACAACGAACTGCATGGTTAGTAGAACGGCACTCTGCGGGCTTCTGACCTGTTTAGGTCAACGTCTGCAAGGCTTCAGCTCGCCCACACTCACAGGTTTCTCAAACGCACCTGCGCCAACGGATGCGCCGTTTTGATTCCTTTCCTGGTTTCTCATTTGCTTTTCGCACGGAATGCATGTGTCACAACTTACCCAGTCCCAGGAGAAAAATCCAGAGAACCCTAAGAAATATCGATGTGGTCCATCCAAATTTGAAGACCTTGTTGAGATTGAGGAGGGTGAGGGCCAGGGCGCTTTTTCACACCGTATCTTAGAATTGACCGTATAGTTTTGAGTGCCCTCATCAGAACTGCATCAATAGTTCAAACAACGTTCGTGATGGTTCTCAATTTACATACGTATATAGTATTAAAATCAGTCATAAACTTATGTTCCACTGTGTCGGAATCGTTGTTTTAGACCGCATTGAAACATGCTTTCCAACGCTCCCGGTCGACACACGCCTCTAATCGCTCTGGCTGGAGCTGCTCGAAGAGGAAGATGAACTGCTGCAGGACTTGCGCTTGGGCTGCTGGGCCGGCGCTTTCTCCTGGGCGCGCCATACCCTCTCTTTCATCTTTCTTTTCTTATCTTAGCTTCATCTGTTTTTTCTTTTGTTTCCTTTCCTTTCTTTGTTTCTTTTGGTCTGTCTTTTGTCTCTCTCTCTCTCTCCCCTTCTGTGGGGTTGCAACCCCCGAGAAGCACCAATTTCAAGGTTACGCATGGGCACCCCCATATCATTGCACTACAGATGTGGAATTCGTGTCATGGTTGCAGGGGAGACATGGAACTGCAACGAACCCAGTCACCGCACCGTCGCTGACGAGCAGCATGCCCATTCGCCTTGGCTGCGGAGACTCACCCTCCGGTAGAGCAACTGCGCAGATGACGACCACCGCCGCCACCGCAACTAGACATTCACGTCTACATAAACACACACACACACACATCTCGTATTCGCAAGTGGAATTGCACGGCGTGCAAATTTGGATGCCTGTACATAGCTATCTACGTATCGATCTATTTATTTATCTATCTATGTATCTTTACCTATCTGAGTATATTCCATATGTTTATAAATATACAGTATATGGACAGATTTCATATGTTGAAATCTTCATCTGAAGGTGCGTATGGGCTCGCTGAATGGAATGGAAACTGAAGGCGTGGCCAAGATGCCCATCTAGAGGCTTTGGAGCTGCATGTTCTGCACAAACGAACGCCATACGTTGCTTTCTTTTTGCGCCTCGTGCAAAGGAGAAAAGGACACTGGATGAGGGCATACACGCCTCTCGCCTCTCCCCCGTCAGGCCGTTAGATACGCCCAGGCAACTAAAAAAATAAATCTTGCACGAAGTCGTCAGAACGATCTGGCCGCGACACGGCCCTCTCCACCAGGACTTGTTCACGGCATCCAGGAGCTCTGGCTTCTTGAGTCCGTGGGCGGCTTTCTTGTTGCAGTGGCTAAAGAAGCACTTCTCCTGAGCACGGGCTTGACAGAACCAAGTGTCCACAACAAGGGTCGGTGGCTCATGCGGCGCTCACGAAAAACCACAAGCAAGTTACGATTGAAGGCTAGATGGAGGGTGTGTGGAGAAAGGGGGTCAGCAAAAATCGCTTATACGCAGTTAGTGCATCAAAAATACCTTCCACGAAGTTGCGCGAAGGTTTCTGGAATTTCGTTGCAGTCAGTTCTCCTACTGGCCCACCATTCCACGAACTGTCTACGAATAGCCTTGGGTTGAACGAATGTCCCACGCCTTCCACGATGTTAGTAGATAGGTTTTCGCAAAACCCTTTCTGTGCACCACCCTTCCGTTTGCCTCTGAACGATGTTGCCCGGAAAAGACTCGCAGCTTGTCACTAGGCGAGCTCGACCGTCAGTGCCGGATATACGACACGGGGCCCGCGCGAACAGCCCAAAACGCGCGCGCATACAAGAAGAAACGCGCGCGCAAAAAATGTTCTCGCAGTAATGCGCGTCAACGCGCGGGCCTCGGGACGCCTTTCGCGCAAAGCGCGCAAGGCGCGGAAAACGCGCCAAATGCGCGGATAACACCCTCGCCCTTCAAGTCCTTGGCCTCGCTCTTCTGAGCATCGTCGCTTTTCTTCTTTTTGTTCTTCACATCTGGTGTGCTTCTGCCTTGGTCGGAAGTGGAGGTGCCTCTGTCCAAAGAAATAAGAAACACCGTCGAGACCCAAACAGCGAATCCACGAACGTGGCAAACACGAGGAGTTTTTTAGCGCGGCAAGAGCGCAGCCCCATCGCTATATTTATGATATGATTTGATATGTTTTGGCCACCGTCACCGTCAGTGAGACCCTCCCTGACACACAAATGGTCGCCAACCACGCATTCCAAAAGTGGCTCGGCTCATCTGATCTCGGTTGCAGCCAGGCTTCAGGAGCGGTAGCGTGCACTGCGGCTGCCCCACAGCTGCGGCAAACCAAAGGAGGGAGCGGCCCCGTTGATCTGCCTGGGAGGTAGTGGCGTCCTGTTTCGGACATGTGAGCCCACAGCTCTACTGAATGGCCCTCAGGGCAGCGGCCAAAGGGAAAAGGAGATAAGGTGAGGTGAGATAGCGACCAAAAAACTATCTTGTCATACTCCGAGCTGCAGGGTTCAGAACTGAAGTAAAAAGAACGGAGAGTTATGCGCAACCAAGGCACCGAGGTCGCACACGCGGGTGTCGTGGAGAAACCGGTTCATTTGAGCCCCACGCAGCTGGACTCACGCAAGCAATGGATGTGACAACGAAAAAACAAATAAAACACTTATCGAACCCACGAAGGACCAGAGGACCAAGGCATTTGCCACCAGGCATTTGCCCCTCCTAGTAGGGAACTATTTCTACTGGTGAACCATTTTTCGAGTAGGGCTACTCAATGACTGGACGGCAACCTTATCGTTGGGTACCTACTTTCTTCCCAGGGAGGTCTATTTGCGCAAGCAGGGGACCAGGAGATCGACAGACGAGCGCCGTAGGAGAGCAAAAGACCAGCGGACCAGGAGACAGAAGGACTAGGATACCAGGGGACCAGCGGACCACAGGACCAGAGGACCAGGAGACCGGAGGAGGGACCAGTGGACTGAAGGACCAAGGGACCAGGGGACCAAAGGACCAGTGGACCAGAGGACCAAAGGACCAAGGGACCACATTACCAGAGGACCCGCAGACCACGAGGCCAAGAGAGCAGCAGAAGAGGCCTATCAAGGAATATTTATTGTTTGATCCTGTTTTTTTTGATCCTGTTTTTAATATTTTTTTTGATGATCTTTTTATTTTATTTTTGATACCTATGCCCCCCCCCCCACCGCCTTTAGGGTGGCGGGGGAAGCTTCCTTGAAGAAGCGTGAGCTATCCTGCGTCCTAGGTAGTAGCGTGTTAGTAGCTACTACCTACCTACCTACCTACCTACCTACCTAGCTACCTACATATCGGCCTACCCCCTCTCTGTTTAAGGGAATTGTTGATGCAAGGATAAGGTCTGCCCGACCTTGTGGGTTTTCCAAGGTCAGGACACCCTCGTCCAGCCGCCAAATGACGCCCGTGCAGCCTTTGGAGGTCAGAGATCTTTCTAGAAATTTCGATGGTTTTGATTCTTTGATCAAATCAATCTCGTCTCTGTACTGTACCACAGACCACAACTCCAGCTGTGAGCCATTACGGAAACGGCCAAGACCGTAGCAAACTCCTCTCGCACTGGAACATCTTGTGGGAAAAGGCCGTCTGCACATCCAGCGTGTCTTTATGGAACAACACCCCACCAATCTGCATCCAACTGAGGTCGACTTCCACAGACACAAAAATCATGTTGTGGTGGCAATGTGTTGAAGTGATGCTATCTGGAATTGTCCAATTGTATTGATCAGATAATGATTCGATATTCAGTCTTGATGAGTGCAACTGGATGACGGTCTTTAGTCTTTGACGCTTTCGGCGGACAGGTTCGCCTGGTGGAGGCAGACCGTCTGACCGTGGTGACCTAGAGCCACATCAAGCTACGGGTCTCAGCCTACTGATTTCATTGAAGTGAGTCACCAGCATGTTGTCTTGATCATTGGAACATCCAGTGACTCTCACAATCCATTGAAACCATCCACACCGTGAAAAAAAAGAAAACATGCTGGCAAATGCCTCCTCTATCCCTAGGAGTTCTTGGGTGCGCAGGTTCTTGTTAAAACCATCAACGGTTCGGTTCTTGCCCGTGACAGGCAGCTTGAGCCGCTCGGTACGTGCCTTAACTCAAGGCGTCCAGACAGAGGGGTGATCACCTTGGATCTGGAGTGATCATGAGTGAACCGTTGATCACGCTCTGCAGATTCAGGATTCGACGGGTGACATCATCGACTCAGGTCTTCAACAACCCATATGTTGTTTGCCTTTCAAGAATGCAACTTGTGTAAAAGGCCCTAGTTTGGGCAATCTCCTGTTGCTAGTTTGAAACAAAATCCCTTGGACTGGATCAAGACGATCGAGGCCTGATGCCTTGAACCCGTCTCTACGACCCAGAATTTGGGAATCTTCCCCATCTGCGTGCCCCGGCCCAGGTCTTCTTCGACCGGTGCACAAAAATGTCAATGGCCTTCGAAGAGAAAACTCCATGGATGGGAGATGGCCCTCAACATTCACATGAAGCACTACCAAAACCTACCGATTCATGAAAAGGTCACCGACAACCTGGTGGCTCAAAAAGGGAGCGCCTGTCGCTTCAGTGGAACACAGGAACATTTGGAACTTTATCTAAGCATTTGACCCGATGCTTGCCTTTGTATGCGTTTGACTCAACAGTGCATGTTTGCGTTTGTGTTTGGCCTACTGCTTCAGTTTCAGGTGTCAGCCAAAATGCAAATTACTTTACTTCGAGTCATCCCGACCACGACATGTCAAACCATTGTTTTCATGCCATGTTGCCATGGTCGGGGCTTTGTGGTTCTCGATTTTGCTTGTGGGTCCTCGGGTTTGAGGTTGTTGGGTTAGTGTTGAGGGGTTCGCGTCGGGGCGTCGCTAGGGTCTACAGCTTGCGGTTACTTGTGGCTGTGCTTTGTTGCCTGTAGTGTGGCTGTGTTTGTGTTTCTGGTGTGTGTTGTGTGTTGTGGTCGTGGTGGTTGTTGAGGTCCGAGTGTGCCCACCGCGCTCTTGCTGTCGAGGTCTGGGCGTGCTCACTGCGAACTGGCGCTTGCTGTTGAGGTCCGGGGCGGCGGAGGAGGAAGGAGAAGACCATCTTTAAACATCTAACAACCCTCACCTGACAAGTGGAGAAAAAATACACACTAAACCGTGACCACTGGACATGAGATTTATGGATACATACATATATATATATATATAATTGTATATATTGAGAGCACGTACGGACACTGCCGTTGATTGTACGAAGCTGCACCTGACGTTTGGAGTGTCCAAAGTCGGGTCCATCATCCAGTTAAAGATATTCAAAGGTTAAAGTGGTGAAACCCATACGTTTGGATTTCAACAAACCAAGCCTCGTCTTCCTCGCTTTCGGACTCCTCCAGTAAGTCTGTCCTTGGGATGCCCATCGAATGCCTATTAAGGAAAGGGTGTTCCAATGCACAATGCAAGACTAGAAACCTCAAACAATTCAATAGAAATGGAATGTTCTGTGCTCAAGCACAGAAAAATGCGAACAAATGTGTCAAAATGCCGATCTTGACAGGCGTCTCCATCTCTAGCAGTTGCTCCAATGGAGTTTCATCTGGCAGGCTCTCCTGCGCGAGCAACGATCTCACACCTCTGGAAAGGCTGTGAAAACAGCCTTCAACATGATTGGCCTAGTAAGTACCGAGTAAGTGGGACATCTGAGGACACCGGCGACTCTAAGACCAAGGGCATGAAGCATCGCTGCTTTTCGAACCTTTCCTGCATGTTCATGGTGTTTAACATATTTAGATAACATTGCATCTGGGGCACTATTGGTTGCTTTGGCATAACATGCACCTCTCTGCTGCGGAGCCTGGTCCTTAAGTGGCTGCGTGGGGCCTGCCAACGAAATCAAATATGCAGCACCACTGCAAATGGGAAGGTATAGGCGAAAAGTTTCTTGACTCATGGCCTTCCATGCCTGCAGGGGTCTGCAAATTCTGTTCAAGCGGCTGTCCTTGTGCAGCGAAGCTAGCAGCTAGCATCCAAAGTGAAGAGGAGTCATTCCCCCATTTCCTTACTTATGCTGCAATCTGATTCCGAAATCGGGTACTGTAATCACTGTAATCCCTGAATTCTCGAAGATTGATCCATGAATTGGATAAAGCTGCGCTGGTTTCATACTCTGGCCAGGCCTGGTGGCATACCCTCCGCTGCACGCGGCTTTGCCCCTGAACCTGCACCCACCTCGGCGCCGCCACGCGGGGCCGCTCAGAATGTCGTGGATCGTTCCAACACTTTCGAACGGGAAAGCGATTCCTCTGGAACTGGAACCTGGTACCTATACCAGCCACAGTGCGCATGACACAAGTCACCAATGATTCATGATTGCCTTACCTAGAACAGCATTTCTTGTGAAATAACGCATTGCGACTTCAGGTGAAGGTTCGTCAATATCCAGTCGGTCTTTTTGGCTAACGACCTGAGCCGGTGGTGGAAGAGCCGCGCTGCTCTTGGTTCTCCTCCTAGCAATGCATCCGACCCACACACAACACTGAGGGGTTTGAGCCTAAGCTTTCCAAACACGCTCCAAGCTCGAAGAGGAATGCATGCGATGCCTTTGGTGGTGTTGAGGTCATTTCCAACCTCCCGCCTGCGATGCATCATCGTCATCATCATCATCATCATCACCACCATCATCATCATTTCACGTGTGAAATGTACAAAGTGAGGCTTTGTGCTAGGGGGGGATAGGCTGCAAAGCTTTGTGATCCTGCTGTTGAATCAAACATTCGACAATTGCACTGGCTGCAAAACTGGAACGGCTGTTCTTCCAAGTTTGCATAATTGTGACCGCCTGATGCCCTGCCCGTATACAGCTTTGCGATCCCAACTTAAGGGTTTTCATAACGGTCTGCCCAACTTCAACAACTGTACTTCAAAAGAGAAGCGGACAAATTGACACACTCGCCCCGAACATCCAGCTTTATTGCCTTCAGGCCTTCAGGTGATCTGTTTCATTGGCCACTGGACTGGCTTCGTGAACTCTTAAAAGTCCTTCGCAGCACTGCGCCATTCATCACCACGCAGCACGACACTCGTCTCCCACCCAAGCGGATTTGTTCAGGTCGGTGACGATCGATGTCGCTAGGTTGCTAGGTTGCTAGGTCAAATGGATTGGTCCTGGCCGAAGGCCTAGGTCAAATGCTACCAGTTACGATGGGAACTTGAAACCTGGGCGGAGGTCTTCCAGAAAGAATTTCATCCGGAGCCCATCGAACGATTGGGTGTTCTCTGAGCGGTGAAGGTCTCAATTGATGCAGCGACGGAGACCTTGGACTCTGCGGTTTTGTCTTCACTTCTTCTTTGCAACATCTGAAGAAGCGACAAATCCTTGAAAGATTAAAACAGACTGCGTACTGTGCATGGTCCCAACGCACTGCAGATGTCTTTGAGTGGAAGCGGCTACCCCAGTCTTCAGTGAGGACGTGGCACTCATGAACTCGCAGTGATCATCGCTTTGAACTCAGCTCACATTCAGACAGTTCACACCTGTCAAGTGAATTAAAGCTGAGAAGAAGGAAACGTGAACCTGCCAGTAGGTGAAGCAATTTCCAAAATGTTGAGAAATGCACGGTGCATGGTCAACCCGACAAATACCTACTTTTCATGCTCGAGTGAAACGCTTCTTGCGCATTCGGGACCAAGTAGATCTGGCACGGTGAGACACTACGAAACTGTGAGACTCGGTTAGCTATGCATTCCTTGGGATCTCTTTGACAGGGTCTGCAAATGCAAAGTAATAGGATCATGGTACCAATCTGACCGCAAATGCCTTTGGTTGTGGGATGTTGTGGCTCTTGATGTGCTTGATGTCATATGAGAAAAGCGTGCAGCACGCTCACCAGGACGGCACAAGCGCCTCAAGCGGTTTCATCAGAGCGGATCTGCGGTTCAACGAGTTTGTGCCATGTGACTTGAGAATCGGGTCCACCCTTTTTTGACCCGTTGAACGGGTGGTGTGGAGAATGTACACCAGAGCCTAGGCCGCGTTTGGTATTCACATCTTCCTCTCTGAAAGTGGATCAAGAGTGGTTGTTTGGTGAAGTTTTTTGTGTGCTGGGCAGGAGGAAGGGTTGACCACCAATGGAAACACTTCAAACCGTCATGAAAGAGTAGGATCATTTGCAACAAGAACATATTGAAGAATGCCAGTAGCTTGTGCACCGCCGGGCTTTGCCGTATATTGATAACTGACCCAGGGAAGCACTCAGTGAATAAACGTCTTGTTCAAAGTGTGCAAATACGAGCAAACGATATGAGCAAGATGCTCTGGTTTCGTCTGCGTCTCAAAGTGTTCATGCGTGTGTGAGCGCGCGCGCGCGCTATTCCAAACTGCCTTCTCCAAATCAGCTTTCCACGACAGCACTTGAGAGGTCCATCTAACATCTACCTAACCCCGAAAACAAAAAAGATCATTTAAGAACATTTAAGAGCGCCGCCTACAGGGATCCGAAATGAACAGAGTCCAACTAAACGTGACTGTCAGGCCGATCCCCTTTGCTGATGCAGCAAATGGTTGTTGCAAAGTCCCAGAAGTCCCGTCTAGGCCTAAAAACTGTTGAACCAAGACTGCTAGACTCGGTAGACCCTCTGAAAAGCCTCGAAATTCGAAGGCTGCGACACCCGATGTCCTGCTTTCGGTACTCGCCTTTAACTTGGCTCCATCCATGTGAAGAAGGCCGTCCACAGGCTCTCCAACTGAGGATAGGCTTCCGCAAGAACCCTGAGGCCGGTCGAGATCGGAGGAACCCTAAATGACCTGTCCAACGCTGGTGGATGCTGGTGGTGATCTCGTCAGCCTCTTCTTGGTAAGTCTTGCTTGGCAGTGACTCTTCTCGTAGAAAGATGTCGCGCCGCTGTTTGTTTGGATTGAATGAGTGAGTCCTAAATCCAAGACCATCAATCAACATTGGAAAGAGCCTTAATTACACTTCTGTCGAAGTTGGAGTCAGGACAAGAGAACCCCACACCCAGTGCAACAAACAATCAAAGCCCTCAATTCTTCAACTCCCGATCGTCCCGATGTTCGTTTGAATACACCTTACATTGTGAGTGTCCCAAATGTCCCAAAGGGCGTCCAACAGATCCTTTCTTCTTGCGATCAAGACTTGTCGACTTGTGGCCGGTAGCCACACCGGAGACCCGATCCCAAACGCCTGACCATCTCCTCCACCTTACCACGGAGCCTCAGCGCCGTGATTGGGAAGAGATGTGGGGATCAGCGCCTCCAACGCAATAGGAATGGCCTTCAACCTTCTAGCGATGGCGTCCAACCTAGGTTCGATGGCCTCCAAACTAATAGCAATGGCCTCTGGAGAAAGTGGGCCTAACCCTCGGTTCGGGGATCGTTTCTGAAAGTCTGACTTGAGAAGGAAAACAATCACATGGTGTGGACGATGCAGTGCAACAGAATCCACCCATCACCTACTTAGAACTTGCAGGAGCGGAGAAATGCTCCGGATGCAAATCAAAACCCATAGATGAAAACCTTAACTTATTCTGCAAAATAATATGTGTATCTATATAAAATTGTAACAATGTACATTGCAATAACATGTTTGCAGGGTGACCGCAGATTCAGACTGGTTGGCCAAAGCGTTACACGGCAACTTCTCCGCGATTTAACTGCTCATGAGGTGATATGCATTGTGAAGGAGACATCCAGCCAGCAGAAGCTTTGCTACCGAGCATACCAATGTTGGCCAGAACTCATCTCCGTTCACACACTCTAGGCACAAGAAACATTACCGCCGCTTACAACCTGACCTGCGAACAGGTCGCTGTCCCATGTCAGCTTCTGGACGATCGATTGAATGTCAACACTCGCGAGCCGTGAGCTCAATTCTACCCTTTTATGGGGATCCTTTAGAGCACACTGGGTGGAACAAAACCGGTTTCAACCTTGCTGAGGTGGGTAGTGTCTGTGGAAGCCAGTGAGCAGCTAGCCAGCGCAGCCAAGCTGCTGCACCTGCTCCTGGTATTGTTGCTGCACATTCTGCGGTGGTGGAGGGCCAGTGCCCATGGCCAACTCATCCATGCCTGGAGTCCAGTGCCCACGCAAGCCCAGCTTGCAATGACTGATTGTAAATGTACCCATTGAAGTCGTAGCAAAACGATTTGACCAAACCAAGTGCAGGTTCTTATCACTTGAAACAAATTGAATTGGCAAACTACTTGGCAGCAGACTACTTCTTGCATCTTCTTGGATGTTTGAAGGACTATGGAGCCTCCTGCAGCTCGCAAAGTAAAGTATTTTTGTGTGGGCAGAATCGAGAATGCAACGGAGCGGCCTCTCGGCCAGGCCGAGTATCGAATCCCACTTTTTAAAACTGAAACCATCCCAAGTTCTTTGATTTTGGAGAGTTGGATTCACACATTCACTCAAACTGAAGGAAACTGTGGCTACTCAGGGTGGACGCAGTCTAGGCCCGCGGGCGTTTGGCAGCACGCTGAAGCTTCAGGATACTGGCCAGATTTCGCTGCTTTTCGATGTGGCCCACCTGCTTCGGATGTGGTGAGGATGTGAAGAAGTTTGGGAAAGTGGGTTTCCTTTGGTCACATAGCCCCTTCAAGAAGTGTATCTACCAAAAATGATGAGTTCACTGCAATCATGTTTGGTAAACTTTAAAGGTTTGGCTTGGCTCAAACAAACAAGGACACACCTCGCCAGTCGGCACAAGTAACCGGGCAGTGGACTAGCTTACTTGCCAGGCAAACACCATTGTTGCCTGCCAATCCTAAGTCACATGTTGAACTCACTGACAACAAAGAACATGTCCTGCTGAAATTCTGCGGAAAAGAGCCTCGCAAAGGTGCACTGTTATTCGGAATATCCCCAATAAACCAAAAAGGTATATAAGTGATCCTTGGCCGTACCGTCTTCCCTCTCCAACTTCCACACAAGCGGCGACAATGCACCACCATTTCGCGTCATGACGAGCAAGAAGTATTGATATGACGACAGACTCAAGTGACACAGGCAGAGATTATCTTGCCTGGCCCTCACTGTCAGATGAAATGAATCTCACTTGGAAAGTTTGTCAGGCACCTGGGGTCAATCAAATGCAGTTTTGCTGCTGTACACTGGCCTGGTCTCATTCGTGGGCAGTGGTAACCAATAGGTTTCTCCTCAAATAAAATTTGACCCCAAGTTTTTCAGGAACTCAAGCAGTTCCAGCCCAGAAGCTCGCTATTCCTATCCTCAGGCCCAACATGCAACAGCAAGCATGAGGCAGCGGACAAGCAGGATAAACAGTTGGACTGCAGTCTAGTCATTGGACACCAGGCCCATTCTCCCGCATGGATGAGAGACGAGGAGCTGGGGCCCCCCCAAAAAAGGATGAAGAATTACTCATGTCTGTGCTGCAGGACAAGTTTGAGTCCTTGCAACCTATCACTTTCAAGTGTGTTCTCTTCGGCGACCATTTCAATGGTTTGCCGCAGTTCGAAGATTGAAATAACAATGAGTCTTGCACCTGTTCACTTCAGCAGCTGCTGCAAGTTGGCTCCACCTCCAACTTCACATCTTTGCATGCCTTGGGCGTTGCAAGGATCAGTGAGCTAGGGGTCATGGATCCATTTGTGTAGTAGCGATGCCCTTTGTAACTAGTAGCGATGCCAGGAGCTACTAGTAGCGTCTTTGCTACCAGTAGCGATGCCCTACTCAAGTACAAAGGTGCCCTGAAATCCCGCCCCAAATTTCTGCGAGAAGTGCGGAGTTGATGGCTGGGCCCTTCGGCCAGCAAAGGTAGCCTGGTAGCCAGCAAAAGGTGCGGGGGCTTTCACGGCGATCGACGGCACGATACGCGCTATGGCTGTCTACCCTCCTAACTTTTGCGCTGCCACAAGGTTCAAGGCCCCAACCTGGACAAGGCCCTGTGTGGTGGAAAGTGGAAAGTGCCACGGCGTCAAGTGTCATCAGAGGATCGCGTATAGGGTTTCAAAATCTTGATGCGCAGTCCTTCCCTGCATTTCACTTGAGCGAGAATCCGGTGAGACATGTTGTGTCAGATGGAGTACACAAGCCCGCCTTGCAATTGCAGGCTTTGTGCAAGTCCTTTACGCAAGTCAAACAATAACACGACTCTATGTTGATGCAGCGGATCAACAAAAGCTTTTGTGCCCCCACAACACACAAGCTTGCGACCTTCCTGACTTTGCATCGGGGCACCCATACATGTAGGTGCTGGAAGCGCCTTTCCCATGCGTCTGCATCGTAAGCAGTGACTCGCTCAGCACGAAATGGAAGATTGTGTTCTGGAGGAACTGCCTATCTGGATTTCCGAAACACAGGCTGGCGTTGAACGAGTCAATTGCATTTGCTTTCCAGGACCTCCGGGAAACCTGTCTGTCTCACACTCTTGGGTGTATCTCACCCGCAACATGATCTGGAATTAAAAACTAAAGGTTGCCACTTTTTCGTATGATTTCAAGACACCAGCCCATGAAATTTCCAGTGTGTCCTGCACCGGTGTTTCTGTCTTGAAATCTTGGTTTTCATGCCAAAGGTTCTGCCATTTGCGTTTGTAGATTTCACGAGCTTGATTGCTGGTTGTTGAGTGACTGAAAACGTTGAACAAAAAGTATGCTGAACCAGAACTACATGGAAATATAACAATACCAAAGATTTGGGGAATGTCCAAACCTTTGGTATCTTTGTGTGTGTGTGTGTCAACTCCTGTCTCAAAGGAGAACGACCACAATGCCTAGTTCATCTGTGTACGGATGAGCAGGGGGCAGAGGGATCTCTAGTTGTGGCCTCTATCAACGAAGTTCCACACTGGACGATCAGGTATAAGTCGCAGCTGGTGACCATCCTGCAATTTCTTTTGTTTGAACTGTTGACAAAGCTGTGACTCTCCTTTCCGGGTAAAGCGCCAGAGAGCTTTTGTTCAAACATTCTGTTCCACCGACCCAGCACTTCCTGCCGTTGAATCAAGTGCAGGTCTAACTGCGTGTAATGGTCTACCTGCAGTAACGCTGGAGTTCACAAACTGATATAGCTCTTGCGAGTATGGATCTAAGTGCGCTGGGCACTTTACTTTCTTGATCTTTCTTGCACTTCAGAACTTGCGACCTGCGACTGCCCAAAGGGTGAGGGGTCAAAACAAATTGACAAGGAAGCAAAAATTAACTTTTTAGTTGAGGACAATAGATAAGGATCCAAGAAAGAAAAGAAGAAACTGGCCTGCTGATGTGTACAGCACTCTGGGGACACCTTCACCACGGACCCAAGTCGGTGGTGGGAACCAAGACATTGGAACTAGGTAACTGGGTCTCCCCCTTACAAGCCTCTTACATCCTCCTGCCTTTGGAAAGGCTTCTAGTCTTCAAAATCAAAAACTGCATCCTGTACTCATGGCACCTCGAACCGAAAAAAGAAGTTGATAGCAGATAGCACCAGCTCCTTTCAAAAATGCCGCAGCACCTTGGCCTGAAAATACTAGCTATTGCGGAGAATACACAGGCTCACACCCTCTGCTTTGAACAAATTGCCAGGGAAGCTCTGCGCCTCGCGGATTGCCTCCGATGTCCGACTGCTGAGGAAAGGATGACTCGGTGGAATTTCACGGAACAGGTGCTGAACATCCTTCAACACATCGAAGCTAATGCCGTCCGAGCTGTGCGGATGCTCCAGAGAGGTCTGCTTCTGCGCGCGCTTTGCGCGAAGACTTGCCCCAGAGCCCATCCGTATCAAAACCAGGACCTAGTGAGGCCACTTGATCCGAAAAGCCTACGAGTGCCAAACGGAAGGTCTGCATCCAGCAGGAGTGATTTTCCCATTCTTTTGCTTTTTCATTTCCTTCATGCTTATTTAGTCTGACTAATTTGTCCAGCGATGCTGATAGAAAAGCAAAACTGTCCTTAAACTGACAAGCACCAAATGAAAAGGCTATAAACGTTTCACTGTTTTGCGCTATTACATCTATCCTTTTGTTTTCATTCAATTCTATGTTCAGTTCATTTGCTTTAGCAATAACTAAGTGAGCATCAGAGTTTTTGAGGTTATGAAAAAATATTGGGATTTTAAAAAACCTAAATGAATAATCTAAATTACATTTTACATGTGCTGCGCCTCTGTATTTACCTGTGAAGTGGCAGCGGTCGCGGACTTTCTCATCATCAGGTTGGAATTGCTTACTACATATTGAGCAGTGGGTCGCGTTTTTAAATTCTGTCTTTTGTTCGTAAGTTAATTCATCCATTGGTTTATTAACATTCATCCTTTCAAGTATATCTTTCTTAGTTATAGTCAGTTGAACTACAAACTTTTTCATACAATCCTCACCTCTGTATAAGTATGGTTGGCATGTATTATCAATCCTGCTTACTACATTCAACATATAACCGCACGGTTTATGTTCCTGATACGTGCCTTTTATACCATTGTTGGAGTTAGTGGTTAGACATTCAAAATCACCATAGATTACAAAAGGACATGGTAATTTCGTGTTATGCTTTTCAAATTCTATATAACTACCTTTGTCAGGCATTTTTGTTTGCTGTCCTTCTGATCCCATACAACCTTTTTCCAAATGCTTATTATATGCCTTTTCCGTTGAGAATGGGTTTAAGCAATGATGACAGTAAAACTTTTATTTTTGTGTTTGCTACTCTGAAAGTTTAGTAATCTACATCTGTTCTTTACCAAAGCATAGCGATAATTATTGGCATCATCAAAAATCTTTAACAAATCAATTTAATATTTAGCATTTTTGTTGTTAGTTCCTCTATGTAAAATTATGTTGTTGTCCTTCAAGCAGTCATCAGGTGCAAAAACATTTATTGAAACTTGCTTATTGTTTTCTTCAAACCGGTCTATGTCCCTATTCCCTGCAGGAAATTTAACACCATTCCAATTCAAAATATTGTCATTTAACTTGTTGTAGTGGAACATCTCTTCTGGATGATTTTTACTGATTTTATCAAAGACTATGCATTGAATACAGTATTTGACACATTTCTTTTGGTCTTTATTTTTTATGTTGATACACGCCTTAAGTTTAATCCATTCTGGTAGTTCTATATACCTCCCCGCTCTTGTAGGGTCATACTTATCAAAATGAATGGTTATTGAAACAATCTTTTTAAATACTAAATTGGACTGTGTGCCTTCTAAAGCTTGAATTGTCAATAAGATTTGTTGAACACTATTTTCTAATGCTTGGTTTAACTCATCCTCATTATGAACATTGTAACGCGTTGCTGGTAATTGGTAAAGGTGTTCGCTTGTAGCAATTTTGTTTCCTCCATCATCATACTCAGGTTTTTCAAATAAACCTTCCGTTCTGATGTTAAGTTTCATATTTCTATTTTTTAAAGGAAGTCTCTTAATCGTGATTTTTGGTGAGCAATCATTTCCAATCCTCGCTCACCTTGAAAGTGGTTTTTTCTAGTTTTATGGAATTGGCATAGTTTCTAAATGCTGACTGGACATCATTTACTCTGAATTTATTTTTTATTGCCCTCCTTGTTAATAATACTTTTGCTCGTCCAAGGGTGTAAGCATCCTTTGCTTTGTTTAAGGCATAACTCCTATACTCGTTTGTATTTCTGATTAATTTTAAGTGTTTTCTTTAAGGCATTTGATATTTCTTTTGCTTTATTGTATCTAAATTTCCTACCTTCTATGATTATTTGCTTTAATTCTTTTCTTCCTCTCTTAGGTATTTCTGCTAAATCATTATTATAAAGATAATCTATGACTGTTTTCATCATATAATACTCTATATATTGTATTAAGTCAGTTAATCTTTAAGTAGTTTTTATGTGAATGATATTTTGTTTCTTTGAATTTGTCTGTATTTAGGTCTTCTGTTCTGTTCTTTGTATTGTTGGTTTGTTGTTCTGTTTTTCTGGGAAGTGTTTGATAAGAATTCTTAGGAAATACATTTAAGAAAATGATATCTTATCTTTTGATGGAGAGATTTTGTAGATATTGTGTCAAAGATTTACCTATTGATAAGTTTGAAGAAGGGCTTAAAACTTGTAAAAAATGCTTAGAATATAAAAGAGCAAACGTGATAACATAGAGATAAAGTAAATGAAGCACAAAGAAAAAGATATGAAGAAGATGAAGAATATAGAAAAAAACTGGAACAAAACCATAAATTTAATCTAAAAACCATTACCTGTTCTGTTTGTAATTGTTCAATAAGGCAACAATGTTACTGAATACATCTTAAAACAAATAAGCATCAAAGAAATTTAGGCAATGGTCAGTAGATAGGATTTGATAAACATGAATAAGGTAATGATGCTTTGACTGCTTTGATTTTATAAATTGAATAAGGTTATGATGTTTTGACTGCTTTGATTTTATAAATTGAATAAGGTAATGATGCGTTGACTGCTTTGATTTTATAAATTGAATAAGGTAATGATGTTTTGACTGCTTTGATTTTGAAAATTGAATGAGGTGATGATGCTTTGACTGCTTTGATTTTGATATGGTTGATTAAATGAAGAAATCAACCATATTAAAAATCTGGTTTTATCCTGTTTCATTTTATTTTCAAAAACTTCACTCAACCAACTGTTTTAACATGTTTTCTCCTGGCCTTACTACTAGAAGTAAAGGACGCTACTAGGGGCTCCTGGCATCGCTGCTAGGAGCATTCTTGCTACTAAGAACAATAAAGCTACCTGGTCTCATTTGGTCTCATGGTCTGATCCGATCGCTTCGCGCCATCCCATCGCAGCACCTGCACTTCTCCGCGCAGAAGTTCATTGGATCGTTCCAGTTGACCATAGTCCTCCAACACACTTGGTGAGCATTGAGCACAATGTCGGACATGTGAGGAAGAGCCTCCTATTTCACCGTTTCTTTACATCATCGACATCATTATATTCCTAGATCTCACTGGATAGTCACCGACTTCTCATCCGAACAACTATATATATATATATATATTCGATGAAACTCAATCAACTTGATATCAGCTGCTGCTACCT